AGTTCCTAACCTATGTAGGTGTTGCATTTATTGATATTATTAAGATATTACTGAATTATTTTCTTTTTAATCAATGTTTGCATAATTTATAAATGTACTACTTAAATGTATTATTAACATTTATTTCACTAGGTGTTATCTAATAGGAATTTAATATACATTAGATATTACTGATTTTAAATTAAATTAAAAATAATGATTTAATGTAAAMATTTTAATTTTACTAGGTTCTTACACACGTATTTAATAAATTAATACTTAATGTGAAAAACATTAAACTGATAAGAGGATTAAATGACTAGGTATTTAATTTTTAGACGAGTTAACTACAGAGGAAACCACCAATACATTTTAAAGATTGGAAAATGTTATCAAAAATCTCTAATAGAGACCCATTATTTTTTGTACAACATTAATTGATATAATGCATTCATCAAGAAAATAACAAAATTATTATTTTAATAAGAATATTGTTATGGTGAAATTTAAATATTGTGATTGTTTTTAAAGCTCTGTATAGTGTATAGATAGATAATACATGAAAACAAAACAATTAAATGCATAAACATATTTTCTAACAGGTGATAGGTACAAGACCTCGCAGAATGGGTACAAGAATGTTATTTGAATACAAACATAAGACCTATATAGAATAACTGCAGTGTTTAAAAACAATGCTATGAAACTGTTAGTTATCATTGGGCTGTTACTTAATTCAGTGATAACATTTAACAACAGTAGCACAAAAGAGCAATTAATAACTACCTTTCAGAGACGTTCACTAGAGACAAYGGTCTCAATAAATAAATTGTGCACAATCACTAAATACTGTAGAYGCACACAWCCAATATAAGTAGCACCAAGAGTACAAGCTACATTATGTCATTTATGGGCATTACACGCAAAACGGTGAGGGGGAGAACCACCAAAATGGAATCCTAGATAGCTGCTTATGTTAGCAATCAATTCCCACCATCGTCATCATAGCTGCACACGAAAATTGGGGACACCGACCGGCGAGCCATGGGCATCGACTATTTATTTTTTATACGATTTATCACTATATTGCACTTATCTGTGTGCAATGAATTTTTGAGGTGCTTACCAGTCGTCGATGGACAGTGTTCTAGTCTATCAAGATACTCTTTCGGCTCTGGACGTTTAGAATTTTGACAAGCACGCTGCAGAACCGATCGTCAAAAAAACGCAAACCCAACCGGGATACAGAAATCGGGAATCAAAAATTAATTAAATCACACACATCGACACGACACGATCGCATGCACACGAAAACGTTGAGAGTCACCGTAAATAATCGAACGGCATATATTATTATCTCGAACGAACACCCACTTGTTTCGGTGTWGTTGGCCCACGGTCGGAGGCTCGGAGCAGGGAAAAATAACAAACGTCTAAAGTCTAATGTCTATCATTAAAAAAAAACTTGTTTATCGCGTATTTGTGTTGACGGCTGCGCGGCAAATGGCACTGATGCGCGTGCGCACGACGTACACCACGGCCGCGCGACTAAACCGCCGCCGAAAACCGTTGACGTCACCACCACCGCGGGCAGCGCGATCTTCCGGACAGATGCCGGATACACATTGCAGTATTGCACGAACATCACAATAATAATAATAATAAGTACTCAATATTTATTTGGAATTTCATTGCTCATATTAATAATTAATATTATGTTGGTAATTTATGTGATATTTTTGTTTAATAATATATTATCATACTATTATTGTAAACTCACGAGTTACGAAACGTTATTGGCTATTAATGATGTGCACCGTATGCAATAATTTGATTGTATAACGTTATTGTAGATTGATAATATTTTAAATCGAACGTTATGTTTTCGATATATTTTATTACTCTATTTTATACAAATAGTCATCAGCGTTGATGCACATTAAAATAAAGTACTGAATGGAGCGACCATMATCGATGATTATTGATTTCAGACAATCTCTTGTGTGCGGATCAAAAATTCAAAATTATTACAGAAAAAAATGTTTCAATTGTTGTATTGATGGTTTATGAGTTATGATATAGGTAGGTAGGTATTATAAATACAATACTACAGTGGTGTTTTTTCTATTAYTTAATTAGTATTTAAACTCTGGTCGATGTTTTTGTGACTTGTTGTTTGCAGAGCATACGTCWCATACCGACAGATGTCGCTTGGATAATATGTCGRAATAGAAAAACACCGTTTGTCGATAATATTATTGTTCCCATCAATAGTCTATCGTTTTTTATTATTATAATTATTTAATAAATWTATAGTTATTAGCTGGTTTTTACTGCTGCTGCCTGCTTGTTTGGGGGAGGGGGAGGATACTATTGGTTAGGAACACGATAAGATGTGTGGCAAGCAGGGCTAATCTAGGATTTGTATGCAACAGCATGTTTTTTYCCGACTTCTGACTATTGAATTTGTCAGTAATGTCCACGAATCACCTCATGATGAGATAAATGGTGATGTTTTTGGAAATTTTTGATAAATTGAATAATAATGCATATATTGAATAAAATTAATATCATTACATATTTCGATTATAAGAATGCAAAAAATGCATGTTTTATAGTATATTTCGTAATTAATATTTATAAAATTATAATAATATTTCGTATTTAATTCTAGCTCTGTTGATTAAAGTATAAAACTTGGTTTTTTTGTCAAACACAAATTTTATTTTTATAAATACAATCCTATGATACAATGGGTATGCGATTAAAGATTGAATAGTTTGACGGAGAAAGATAAACACAATTAATAAAAGTATGTCGGTCAATATAAAATCTAAGATAAAAATGAAAATGCATATTTTTGCATATTTTGGTAAATAAAATGCATATTTTACAAATTTKTATTGTTACCAAGTAGTAAAGTAGTTAGAAGTGTTAGAACTCAAGTGGTCACCCATCCGGGAACTAGTGGCACTGGCCGGTTATATCACCCAAAACATACGTTTGTACATTAGGTAATTGTAATGCAATACGATATACGACTACTCAGTACTCACTAAAATTGTTAAAGAATTTGATTTACATCTTATTTTTTTTAATCTACCTATAAAGCGACTGGTTTTAATATAACGCTGACAAAATACATTTTATTTACATTAGCTAATATTTAGGTACCACTGTATAAAACATCTATTTATAGATCCATCACGGTTCAAGGTGCCTATCTATATTATTTCAAGAAACGCAATTAAACGTTATAAACGTACATTTATCAACATTTTACTCATTTTAGTACTGTTGCGTAACGTATGGAASTGTGGTTATTATAATAATACGAGTATTTGCTATTTAGAATGGGTAGGTAGTTTTGCTATTATTAGTAGGTAGGTAACGATTGTTGGGTATGCGAAGTCTCTAGATAGGAAGTCGTTTCCGTCCCGGACCGTCTATGACGAACCGAACACCACTCCTACTATATTGCCAATAATGAATTCACCTTGTGAATGTTATGACGAACGATAATAATTTAACCGATCATTTTGCGTGAATGCATGTGTGTAATATTCATGAGTAAAATTCTAGTAATTACAGTCGAAAATAACGTTATTTTCACATAATATTGTATCCATTTTTAATATTATAATAATGATTAGGTATATTATTATGTTACCTATGGCAAATTGAAGTTTACTGTGTCATATGTTAAATGATTAATACATATTATTACATATTCTGACAACGCGATCATTTGCAATATTAATATGTACCTTTATGCAAATAATATAAATGATCATTTATATTATTTGCTTTACGGCTTATAAAGTTATAACGTGGTTCTGTTTCCGTTTGTTGTTTTCTCGAATAACCACTCAGCAGTTCTTGCRATCGTATTTGGTTACAGTAATATTAATATTATTCCTTATTTATTATTTTTAAGAACATAATATGTCAGAACGTAGATACCTACGTAAGTAGGTATGATCCGCTTTGGGATGATATTCTCGCGTGATCTAAACTTAGCCCTAATACAAAATAAATGTGCTTTTCTTTAAACATTATGGAATATTTTTTTTGAGGGTTAGAGCTAATCCACATKTATTATTTATACATAGGTTAAACTAGATAAAATAAATATAGTTTCAACCTTGTTTCAACTATGATATAATTATACTATGCAGAAAAACTACTACAAAGAATAGCATTATCTGAATTTTATTTTAAAAGTTTTTTCAAAAGTAACCCATTAATGATAATTAAAAATAAATAAATTACTAATATTTTTTTTTCAAGAATACTTAAGATTTATTATGACTATAGAATATAGATACGCCATATTAACCTATTCATTTTTCAAGTATTAAAAATCAATTCATAATTTCAAGAAGTATCAAGTAAGTACATAAACATTTACACAAAAAATTTGAAAAACTTACATAAAAAATACAATAACATAATCCTTATTTACTATTTTATTTAAGTAATATATCTTAAAATAACAACAAAACAGCTTATAAAATTAGTAAAATAAAAGTGACTATAACCAAATTAAAACTTAATTATATATTTTAATTGTATACCTACATTTATTGTTAAAACGTTAATTCGTTATAATATAAGCATTTTTTTAGTAGAAATCTTATTAAACACTTTAAAAACTTAATTATAGTTTCTGAATATTATTTTTATTATTAGATTTTTTTTGACAGCAATTAAGTATGCCAAGTGTCTTTTTATGCCGTTAAAATAGCATAGTGCCCCTATAGTTTATAAATGTATTATTATAAAAATTCGTTAGTATTTGTATTTTATGTGATAATTATTTTAAAAATTAATTTAATTTGTTAGAAYTATTAATATAAACATATTATTTGATTGTCTGATCACCTATAAATTATGATACAAATATATCTTATAATTTTTTATGAAATAACATTTTAAATAATTAATAGATTTTGAATTAATACTAATAAATATTTCTCATAATCTAAATTCTAAGTTTATTTTTAAAATAATTATCACATAAAATACAAATATATCTTATAATTTTTTATGAAATAACATTTTAAATAATTAATAGATTTTGAATTAATACTAATAAATATTTCTCATAATCTAAATTCTAAGTTTATTTTTTATAACTATTGAACGAAATAAAATGTAGTCAAAGAAAATCTCAATAAAAATCCAACCAGTCTTATTGTGTAAAATACAATCTAACAATTTCTACCACTTACTCTGATCTCTATGTTGAAATAAATATGTATACTGATTATTATTTATTCTGGTGTGAAATAAAGTAATAATAATTCTTCGATCATTCTAAAAATAATTTATATGATAAAATTTTAAAACTTTAAACTATTCAAATAATAAATTAAATTTTTTAATTTAAACAGTGTTTCATAATAATATAGTCGATTGTTATATTTATCATTTCTTAAACACCAAAAACAATATTTACCCTAGGGAAACATGAATAAAGTGCTATAAAAATGGACATGTTCATTTTGGAAACTTTTAAAATGTGCATTTTTTAATCATGACAATTTGCACAGCCCCAAAGGATAAAAGGGCATGTTTCAGTGTTAAGGGTAAAAATTAAAAATTCTAAAACAATTTCTAGCATTCCATGTGAACTATTTGTTTCCCTAACTGGCCTAACTACATTTCAGTTCCCACACACACACACCAATATATAATACGCACGCACATGTATGAGGCTTAATTCGATTTGGCCGATTGCAGACTCGAGTTTGTTGGAAAGTTAATTGAATAACGTTCGTGAATGTAATATATGACACTAGTCTCTCAACCCTTTTCTG